AGCACTCTGGGAGGCCGAGGCAGGCGGATTGTTTGAGCTCAGGAGTTCGAGACCAGCCTGAGTAAGAGCGAGACCCCGCCTCTACTAAAATTAGAAAGAAATTAATCGGCCAACTAAAAATATATAGAAAGAATTAGCTGGGCATGGTGGCACATGCCTGTAGTCACAGCTACTCGGGAGGCTGAGGCAGAAGGATCGCTTGAGCCCAGGAGTTTGAGGTTGCTGTGAGCTAGGCTGACACCACGGCACTCTCTAGTCAGGGCAAAAGAGTGAGACTCTGTATCAAAAAAAAAAAAACTCATCTATGGTTTCTTAAGCAAAACTGAATTTACCTAATAAATCTAAACTTTAATAATCCTGTTTTATAACATGCTCCATTACCTGCATTATGTCTTGCAATATATCCAAGTGCCCAGACTGCAGCCTCCTTGACTCCAGGGTCAAAATCTTCCAAGCATATCACCAGCGTATCCAGTGCTCCACAATCAACTATTGCCTGAGCTAGCTGAGGAGAATGTTTACCAACTGCCCGTAACACAAAGGCAGCTGCTTTCTTGTAAAACCGCTATAAGAGTAAAATAGAAAAAACCCAAAATGAATTGAGCACTTACATGACCAAAATCTAAAATAGACCAAGACCAACATAAAAATGACATTAATATAAATAAAGCTCAACAGCTTTTGAATATAAAAGATGAAAAACATCCTGCAAATCATTTTGATTATTTGTTCTATAACTAAACTGAAATCCAGGTAAGTTTTAAATTACATTGCAAATGTTTTACTCTGAAGCATGTATTTGGAAACTGTATAAAATAAAATATAAACATACTTTCCACAATTCATAAAATAATGAGATTTTATGTATCTACATTACACTGAAAGGTACTGTTTGACCCATGGGAACTCACAGATTCCTAGCATGTGCAACTGAACTCTCCGTTAACTGACTAATTCATTTCCTTTGCTTGCCCTCCGTCTCTAGGCATGGTAGGCCTTTCATGACCTCAACTAAATCTTTCTGATGTTCCAAGTTATCCTGAAATAACAACCATGTTCCAAGATGCACTTAAACAATCATCAAATAAACATGAAGGTAAAACATTTGTGATACATTCTTAAACTTTTCCTGGCAAATAAATAAGCCAAACAATGGGATATAAGTTATTTTTCTCCTCTAGAAATGCTTTCTTTTTTAAAGATAAAAGCAAATTACTTATCATTTGTGAATTTTAAATACTGCTTCATATTTATATTTCCTATACATAAACTTTATCTGATTAAGGAATGAGAAAATGAAACAAACACAAGACTAACATGTTTCTCTTCATATTGCTAAAAAATTAAATGTATAGAAAATATTTGTTTATAACACTCACTGTTTTATGGTTAGCATAATGACAGTGATGGGCTATAAACTCTTCCTGTTATTAATAAAACCCAATTAATCTCCTATTTTATATTCTGAGTTTCTATTTCTTTATAGTGACTACTAAAAAGTATCTAGGTGTCTATAGTACCTGTTCAAAAGCATTCTATTAGGTTACAATATTGATACAAAAAAAATTATAGGAGGGAGAGAAAACATATCAAGTATATTTTTAACATAGTGTATCTAAAAAATTGATATATGTTGCTAACTAACCTAAGAAACTATGGTATGTTAATACTGATGTTTTGATCTGATATATTTTTCTTAATTTCTTAAATTATGTAAGTCACAAAATTTCTACTAACTTATATGAATAAAAATTAGGGTAGATTTTTAAAGTATTAGTAGCTTTCCATACATTATTTTCTTATAATTGTGGAAAAATAATAGTGATATAATTCTTTTCATTACTGTAAGTTCATTTTACTTTTTATACTACAGAATTGTCAAATTTACAGACAATTTACAGGTATCAATAGTCACTACTAACTATAGTACCTATAATTCACACTTTCTGATCTCATTCTCTTTCTCCTAATTTTCACTTCCCCAAATTCCTAATACTCTTCTCTCCTACTCCTTACCAAAAGAAATGCCTTAAAAAAAAAAAAAACAAAAGCAAAACCGCAGGACTTTGTACCTCATAAAGAGGAGATTAAATCTCCTCTGAGAAAGGACTTAAGGTGGGTAGGTGGCGGGGCCAGAAGCTTGAGCATAATGCTTCACGTTTTTCACTGCCTCCTCCCTAGTGCCATCTTCTCTCCTTAAAGTTAATGGATATTCACTCACACTTTTAAAACTTCTACTGAGAACCTTCTCTGTGGGATACCAAAATACAGACCCCGCTCTCAAAGGAAAGAGCGGAGAGTCCAAGAGGAAGAAAGTCTAACAGTATTTGAGGAAAGAAGGAACATCCACAAGAAAAATAAAATTTCTGTGAGTCCTTGTAGAGCTATACCAGGCATTAGTAAAGGACGCTCCAATGTATAAAGATAAGATGAATTTCTTCACAATTAGGATTTATTTTTATTCTAGTAAATAGCATAAAAGTTACCATTTTAAACATTTTAAAGTGTATAATCCTGTAGAATTTGGTGCATTCACAATGTTGTACAATCATCACCACTGTCTAATTCCAGAATATTTTCATCACCCTAGCGAGAAACCCCTTACAAGTTAAGCAGTCACTCCCCATTCCCTTCTCCCCCCAGCCCTTGGCAATCACTAATCTGCTTCTGTCTCTATGGATCCGCATATTCTAAATATTTCATATAAATGGAATCACACAATATGTCGCCTTTTGTGTCTGGCTTCTTTCACTTAGCATCAGGTTTTTAAGGTTCATCCATGCTGTAGCATTTATCAGTACTTCATTCCTTTTTAGGACTGAATAGTAGTCCATTGTACATACGACATTTCGTTTACACATTCGTCTGTGGATGGACTTGCGTTGCTTCCACATTTTGGCTATTGTGAATAATGCTGCTATGAACATTTGTGTACAGGTTTTGTTTGAGCATGTTTTCAGTTCTTTCATATATATAACTAGGAGTAGAAGTGCTGAGTCATATGGTAACACTTGTTTCACTTACTGTGGACCTGCCAAACTGTATTTCACGGCAGCTGCACCATTTTACATTTCTACCAGCAATGCATGAGGGTTCCAATTTCTCCATATCATCAGCAACATTTGTTGTTTTCCTATTTTTATTATAGCTATCCTGATAGATGTGAAGTGATACCTCACTGTGGTTTTGATTTGCATTTTCTAATGACTACCACTGTTGTGCATCTTTTCATACACTTGTTGGCTATTTGTAGATATTCTTTAAAGAAATATCTATTCCAGTCCTTTGCCCATTTTTCGAGGGCAGACGGGATCCGG